ACACACACACACACACACACACACACACACACACACACACACACACACGTTTCTGTATAGGCCAGTAGTAAATGTCAGAATATTTATAGTGATTTATACAGGCAATTTCCTGAATTTTCTGTTTGAGTAGTAGGAAAAAAGCCTTAATCATTAGATGTCAGAGGACATTAAGAGAACGTATAAGTCTACCCTAGTGTTAACAGTCTGTCTTGGGAAATATGAAAACATTTCTTTTGAGTGGGTATACTGAATGTATTCTTAGTGTTAGTTTTATCACTCACAGCTGTTAGTTTTTATGGCTATGCTTTTGAAAACTGCAGTAAAGAACCAAATGTGCATTGACAAAGGCTGTTTGGAATGAATGTTTATGTGTGATAGGAAACGTGTAGCTTGACTCCAGGCAAGCCCTTTGGAGAGTAAGCACTGACCTCTAATGGTTTGCATCCCTAAATAATCTTTGGTTTTGAGTTGTAAGTTTGTGCATAGTATGCTTTTTTTCTTAGTGGTAGAGATAGGTGGTGTAGATCCCCGTGAACAGGGACACCTACCTGTAAGCATAGGTGTTGAGACATAGTGTTGAAACACTTCCTTTAACACTTGCTTCTCTCTCTCTAGGAGGGGCTTTCTGTAGGCAGCCTTTGTGATTGAGGATAGAGCAGCATCAGGAAGCAAGAAATATTAGAACCCAAGAATCCTGAATTCTCAAATAAGGAAGGTTTCCTGTTCTTACATTTAAATATGAGTTTGTCTGAACTGGGAATTTACAACGCTTCAGAATACTAGGGTATGTTTTACTGAAATCATTAGGAAAGTTTTTTTCTATCAAATTTTCCTCCTTATATAACAGTAACAGTAGTACAGAGCATTTGCTGTAAGATATGTGCTCTGTTTTTAATATTCATTATATGTAAAACAGTGAGCAAGTTCTATTAACTTTGTAGTTGTATCATAAAGTTGAATGGTGTTCTTAGATACTTTGATTATGGAACTAATTAGATATCTTTAAATCTTAAAACTATCTTAAGTCACATTAAACAGGTGAATAATGATACTTTTGTTGTATAAGTAATCAAAATGAACATTAAAAATAAAAATGTTTGATAGTCTTTAAAATTAAACTCATTTAAAATATTAAATTTTCCTACATTAGCTTTAAATAGGAGCTCTTAAAACTTTGCAGCTTAAAAATTCAGTCAGTATTTCTAGCCAAACAAACTTTACTTTAAAAATGCTATTTTGAAGACCAAAATATCTTGGGATTGTCTCACTATCTGCTAAATGTAGGGATGAGAATCCCCTGTAAATGCCTTAAAATAGCCAGTCTAAGCCATTTCAAACAAAGCAAAAAAAAAAATCCCATTTGTAAACTTTTTCTGTTAATGCAGTTACTGCATGATGTGTGTATTGATGTTTGTATATATTAATGAACTTTGATGCATAACGGGTGCATTAAGGAAAATTGTATTTCTTAAAACATGTTTTGATTTTTCCATTGACTTCTGTAATTACTTTATATATACTATGAAAATAGAGAATAAATAATAGGTTTCTGTTTCCTCTCTGATATATTCTTCTACAGTATATGATTTTAAGATTACATACGGGCAGCATTGTTTCTTAGCCCCAGTGAAGGCATTTTATATACTTCTCTGGGTTTATTTCTTTATTTAAACTTTTCATACCTGGAGAAGATAATGTAATTTTAGGGTATTTCTTTTTTCCTACTTGGTAAGATTAGGTTAAAGTGAATTAGATTATTTTCTAATGTTAATTCAGTCTGCCAACTTTTCCTCCTGTTTTACTTTGTATGTATGTTTTTGTTAAAGCAGTGGAGATCCTTATTCAATGAGCCTAGTTAGACACAAACCAGGTAGTCATAGTGGGAAAAAGATGGGAGCGCCTGCCCAGAACCCACTGTGTTTGGGACGTGTCAAAGCACGAACTGATCAGGTTAAAATCTTGGTACTTTAAAAATTGCAAAGAAAGGAATGATGGCTAGTTGATGTCAAGAGGAAATTTAATAAGAAACACAATGAGACTGTATAACTTCAGGTACCAGCTGGTTTGATTCATCTATTTCTTTGGGTCATAAATTTATTATAAGTAGCCCAATAAAGTAAATCATTTAAGGACCTGCATTTCATATATCTCATTGTAGATTGTCCTTTTGTTGATGTTTTTGTCAGTGTAGTTAAACTGGATCTTAAATAGGAACTAGTATATACCACATGTTCCTCTAAGAATTGCTAACAGTCAGTTACCATAAATTAACTTTAAAGTTCTTATTCCTGTTTCACAAATTAAGTAAATGAAGCACAAAGAGTTTATGTAACAGGGCCAGAGTTCAGACAAAGAGAACATGTGAAAGACAGTGAAGACAGCTGCTGTGCATTGTAGTTTTTATTTATTAACTGTTTAATCCTGAAAAATTACCTTTAAAATGTAAATAAATATATTTGAAAGCTTTGGGAAAATGGAAAGTACTTTAGATATTTTCAATATAAGTGTAAGAGTGTAACCTCTAAGAAAGTTTATAGTTTTTGCTGACAAGCAGTTTCATTGTTAGGACATCCAGTTAATTAAATTAAAATTGCTATTTGAAATGCATTATGGGTAAGATGTAAAGTACTTTGTTTTTGCTCTTTTAAAGCACATTTTTGGTAGCAAATTTATAGCATCCTAAATCCTGAGAATTTGGAAGCACATTAAGGTATTGTGTTGTCCGTACTGATTTATTGTAGTAACCCCTCATCTTCTCTTTTCCCGGTGGTGAAACATTTTCATGTCAGAGCTAACTTACTAACAATAAAGTACACATTTTACTCAAGTAGTAGAAAGTAACTCAGTTTATATTTTAGCTGGCTTTTAAGAATTCCATGATTTTTATAGAGATGTGTTATGTAATGAGGGGCCACACAGACTCTGTTCTATAAACTTATTTAAGTATGGGCAAAAATTACAACGTTTTCCAGTAAGGATAGTAGAAAGTGAATTACCTAAATTCCAAAACTTATCTTTGATCTTTCAGATGATTGCTATTAAGTTGCTAGTATTCTTTTTTTTAACCTGTGCAACTATAGGGATTAGTAATGTCATTAAATTGTGGTCTTTCCTCCTATTCTAGTATAAAACAGTCTGTCTTCAATGACTTTAATAATATAAATGCACTCCAAATATATTTAATAATAAAATTACATTTGATACATATAAAGTTTTGAAAGCACAGGGACATATATCAAAATTAGGTTGATTTATAATTGTAAAATAATTGAAGACAAATTTCCCTTTAAAATAAAGAACACATAATTCAATTTGAAAAACGTGGAAACCTAATAAATTAGGTAAAGAGTATGGATGAATAAAAAACCTTTTGAATATGTTCTTAAAAATAAAATATGCTCACCCTCATGAGTCTTTAAAGAAAATGAAAACTAAAGCTGTTGTGACATGCCCTGCTGTTAGGAAAAGTTACTGTGAACCAACATGATCATTCATTTACAAGACAAAATAAAATGGAGCTCAGCATGTGAATTGTAATATTAAAGCAAAGATAAGTGTAGGTAGCTGCAAAAGGTCCAAGGGCGCTGGGCGAATGCTTCACACTTTAAATATATTTTCATTGCTAACACAGCTACTTAGTCAAAATAATTAATATGGGAATAATGTTGAGTCATAGAGTGCTAAAATATGGAGGTGGCGTGCTCGAGCACTGTTCTATAGCAGTACAGCCAGCTGTACATGACAGAGCAGGAGGTGAGGCTCAGCCTTGGTTTTCCCAGGAGTTCTCACTGGAGCAGCAGGTCCTCATGGGGTCTGAGGAGTGGATGCTTCACTTGTCATGTTCACTGCACGCCAGTGTCAGTATAAACATGTGAAAGAATGATGCACACTTAAGGTGTCTTTTGCTTTGTGGTCTGGTACAGTCTGAGAGTATTTCCTCCTTCATTTTGAAATTAGAAAAATTATTTTTATGGTAATGGGAAATTATGACTGTATTTGTGTAGTTTAATTGTGAACTCTTCTAAAGACACATTTGTAATCATTTCTCAGATATTGGCTTCTTGTCCAATCGATCGGAAACCGATCAGTGCAGTGTTTGAACTCAGTGCATTTGAAGGTTGTGCTAAGGTAAGCCTTGGATTTCACTTTGAGTTTATGACTCAATAACTGCAGCTTCTTTGTTTTGATAGATTTCTAGCTAACGTAATTTTAAAGATTGTTCACCTTTAGGTTTAATGTGTGTCATCAGTTCTCTTGACCATGGCAAGCTCACAGCTTTTAGTGCCAGTAACTAATACTTGATGGCTTTCCCTTGCCTTCTAAAGCGGGCATGCTGCAGTGTTCACCTGATATTATACAGGTATAATAGATTAATGACATTATCAGCATGATTGTATTTCAAAACATCTTAGTTGGACAATGCTTCCAATACAATTTTTCATTAAAATGTTTTAATTGAAGTGTTGGATTCAAAGATGAACTTTTATAAAACTTAAGCTTCAAATATCTAAAAATTGTTTTTATGGGTGTTGGAGAGATGGCTTAGGTTAAGAGCATTGGCTGCTCTTCCCGAGGTTCTGAGTTCAGTTCCCAGCGACTGCATGGTGACTCACGACCATCTGTAATGAGATTTAGCACCCTCTTCTGGCCTGCAGGTGTACATTCAGGCAGTATGATGTATATATAATAAATAAGTAAATCTTTAAAAGCTGTTATAAAAACATAATTTGGAGATTAGATAAAATAAAACTAAACATAAATTGACATCTTTGTTTTTACATGGTGTTGATGTTATTTAATCTGAATCATGATAATAATTTAAAAACATTTTAATTTTTTAGATTAAAATATAATTAGATCATTTTACCCTTTTCCCCTTCCAACTCCTCCAAGGTATTTCTCCTATTTTCCTAGCTCTCAAATTTATGGCCTCTGGCCTCTTTTTCTTTAATTATTGTTACATAGGTTGTGTGTGTGTGTTCCTAAATGTAAAAATACAGTTTACTCAGTCTGTATAATGTTACTTGTATGATTTCAGGCCTGACCCCTTGGTATTGGATAACCAACTTGGGGACTGTTTCCTAGGGAACACCATCTCTTAGAAGGCTGTAGTACTTCATTTAGGGTTGAAGGCCCGTGAGATTACCCGTCTCCATGTTAGAATGTTTGATGGTGTCATCTTTGCTCAGGTCTTGGTTAAGTAGCCTTGCTGATCAGTGAGCTTCTGACATTTCTACGTGATTTGGTCTCATAGCACACATCCTGTTCTCTGGCCCTTACAAATGATTAATATTTTATTGTTGAGGGTTTTTTTGCTTGTTAAAAAGAAGAAAATAAATAGAAACATTGCTGAGTTCATGAGGAAAAGAGGAAGATAGGACAGTAGTAAGTGAGCTGTATGAGAAACAACACACATGAAAATAAATGGTAAATAGCTTAAGAAAAATGACAGACAACACATATGCCTGTGTGTACATGATACCTCTAAGGGAGGAACTGACTGCAGTCTGTGACAGCTGGCTCATAGAAAAACAACTATTTTAGTTTTCAGTTTAGGCATTCTAACTTGTTTTGATATATTTTTTTCTTTTTCTGTGCGTCCTGATATAAAGTACAAACGGTGTTACAGTGAACATAGAAACTGTTAGAGAAGGGCTAGGGCCTCAGCTCAGTGAAGTGTTTGCCACAGAAGCATGAGTCCTTGAGGTCCATCCCTGTGTTTAAAGAATAGCTGGAATAAAAGTGGCCAGCAGTGGAGCTTGGTTACTACTTCCAGGGCAAACAAAAATGTGGATGGTGCCTGAGGAAAACCACCGGAAGTCTTCCTCTGGCCTACAAAAAGCACGCCCATGCTTGAACATGAACATGTGCACACAAAACAAAAGGATCTGCTTGTTGTGATTGCTATGTCTTCAGCAGCTATGCAAATTGTCATATATTCGACAAAATATACTTAGGTGTTAATACAATAAAAGTCAAAATAGAGTCTCTGGAAGACAAGCTATTTTCCAATCACCTTTATAAAATTATATTGTTAAAGATAATGGTCTTCTGCCTAGGCTGTCTTGATTCTTGATTGTGTTTTGAGTTTTGAGTGCTGTGATTAAAGGTGTACACCATAGTGTCAGGCTGAGACTCCACTTTTCAGTTTTGTTAAAGCTATTTTCAATGTTGGTGTACTTATTTAATAGGTAGCTTTGCTTTTCTTACAGATTCAAGTAAAAAGATGGTTGAGAGAAATAGACGACAAGGAAAATGAAAGGTCTTTTAAGAAACAACTTTTATATCATGACAGTTCCAAAAGCGACAAAAGGTTAGTGATTAGCTTTACAGTGGGATTCAGTGTGACTGTACATAAGTATGAAAAGTAATGTGGGGGCCTTCCTGCAGATGGGTAGGATATTGGGATGAGATTATCCCTCCTCACTCCTCTAAGGAAAGGATTGCAGCTCTGTTATTGCCTATATAAAGCTCCTGTTGAAGTCATTAGAGGAGAGAAGGTAATAACCTCTATTCTGCATGTCTCAGTAGCCAGTCATGAAAGCCAGTAAGATTATTGTTTAAATACTAACATATATAATAGATTTCATTGTATAGTAAAACCTAGTTTAGCCTATTATTATTTGATCTGAGTATATGAGAATATTTTATTGTGATGGACAGTGGATTAAAAAAACTGAACAAAATTTTAGTTTTTTAAATCTTTTTAAACTCTTATTCACATCTACAGAAAAAGAAACACCGTAAGAGAACATCTATCATGTGAAAGGTCTGATGACTTGAAGGTGTTGTATAGTAAGTAACTCTGCTTGTGTGTCCTTTTTGTTTGTGTTGTAACTCAGTGTTAATGCCAAATTTCTTAGTAATATTTTGATTTTGAAAATAGTTGATAATGGGACTTCTTCGATCTCTCCACAATAAACCCTGTGTGCTACATTGGTTTGCTTACATTGAGGTCAGTTCTACTGTTCCCTGTTCTTTTTTTAGCTTGAAGGGAGAAGGAAGGAAAGGAAGTATGTGTTGAGAGAAAGAACATTTCCTGATTACTTGGTGTTAAATAGCCTTTATTGTAGCCTTATTGCACATATCTTGGGGAGGTGATAAAACATCCGTGGATGTCAGACATTTTGGGTTTGGAATGTTTGCATGGATTGAGTAAGCATCCTCTCAGGGATGTTCCCTGTATTTTGTCTTTAAGGGTGAACTTTGGTTTGTGTTTATTTATAGTAAATTCAGTCTACAAAAAAAGTCTCTCAGGTATCTCCTTTTTCCTTTTTGGGGAATATATGTGTATGGCACATGTATGAGGGGGAAGGAAAGGGAAGAGATAGCATGTGTTTCAGAGGACCTTTAAAAAAAAAGAATAAATAAGCTGAAACTTCCCAAGCTGTTGATTTATTAATAAAATGAGAAATAAGACTTTAATACCAAGAGTGATAGTCACTTGATTCTGTTTCTGATACTGAGAGGATCATGCTAATACACATGAGGGTTTTATATTACTTGGTTCAGAATGTGCCTGTGTGTGTTTGCCCTTGCACTTGGAGGCTAGAGGTTGATGGTGGGTGTCGTCTTTAATCACTCTCAACCTTAGTTTTTGAGATAGTGTTTCTCAGTAAACCTGCAGCTTGATTATAATTCAGTTACACTGGCCAGCCACTCATCCCTTGGGCTCCTGTCTCTACATTCTCATCTCTGGAATTACAGTCATCCACTCCCATACTCACTTTTTATGGGGGTTCTAGGGATCCAAATTCAAGTCCCTACGCTTGCCCAACAGACACTACCACCTGAGCCATCTCTGCAACTCCTTTCGGACATTTCTTAAAGGCATGCTATCTCTATTTAATTAAAAATTTGTTGTTTGGTATTAGTCAGACTTTGAATGCCTGCTTAGCATTAAACGTAGAGTATTTATTATCTAAGTTTATATTGTACACAAGAATTTTTCCTACACTTGCCCAGAAGTGCTTGGGATTGAACCCCAGGAAATCCTATAGTCTGGATGGGAACTTTACCACTGAGCTCTACCACTAGTCCATAGGAAGATCTTTTCATAAAATGTTTTCGGGATCACTGAAATGTGTTTGAGAGATATAATAGGACTATCTCGGACCCACCAGCGATATAAGTAATGACACTGAGGCTTATTAGTATTTTAAAGCTTAGACCTTTCATTGGGCAGTCTCCTGACTATTCTAACCTGACTAATTCTGCACTATGTCCCGCCATGTGGCCAGGTCTACCTCTCTCTGCTTTTGTCTTGTCTGTACATTCACTCCTGTGTTTGCTGGCTCCCTAGTCTCTTTCTGTAGAAGTTGGGTATAGTTTGTCCTCCCAGCTGCATGGTCTCAAAATACTCAAGACTCAAAATATATTTATAAATACCTTGGCCATATAGCTAGGCTCTTCTCTGACTAGATCATACCTTCTGCCACGTGGCTGGTGGCTTGTGTTCAGATACCATATGTTCATCTCACATCTCCCAGTCTGATCTTTCCATGTCAGCTCTATCCCAGAATTCTCTCCCCTCCCTGATGTCCCATCTTCTATTTCCTGCCTAAGCCATAGGGCCATCAGATTTATTATTGACAGATGCTACATCTATACAGACACAGATATTATGTCTACACATTTCTTCTCCCATAGTCCCCCTGTCTACCCTGAAGTTCTACCTTTCACTTCCTGCCCAGATATTGGTCATCAGCTCTTTATTAAAGCCACTTAGATACAACTCAAGATTGCTTTAGGCAGAGAAGGAAGAAAGAATATTTACAAACTATGAGAACTGGGATGGGCCATTAGCTCTCTTCGGTACAGAATTAACAGTTGAATATGCAGAGACACACCTTCACACTGTGTACCCTAATAGGGGAATACTGAATTAAAGACAAGCCATGCGTCCAGCTTAGCGTAGCTGATTGAGCACCTATTTAAGCCGCACAGAGAACTAGGAAAGGAAGAGCACAAGAAGAGATGACCTTAAAATAGAAGTTTGAACATGACTTTCTAAGAGGGATGCAAAATCATCTTAGCAGAAGCTTTAGCCTTTCCTAGGGACAGTGGAGTTAACAATGGGAGTCAGTTCACAGGCTTAGAGGCTTCTGTTTTATCCAAAGACAGATAAGAGGTGTAGTAACAAACAGTTTTGTTTTGCTTTTTTTTTGGTTTTTGTTTTGTTTTTTGTTTTTGTTTGAGATAAGGCTTCTCTTGTAGCTATGGCTGTCTTGGAACTCATTCTGCAGACCTGGCTAGCCTCAAACTCAGAGATGCACCTGTTTCTGCCTCATGAAGGCTGCGATAAAGGTCTGTGCTATCACTGCCTGGCTCAAGAAACAGTTTTTTACATTACTTTTTTTTTTTTTTTTAAATAAAAAACAGTATCACTAGGTAGTCCTAGCTGTCCTGAGCTCTTTTTGTAGAACTGTCTGGTCTGGAATTTAGAGAGACCTAGTTGTCACTGCTTCCCAAGTGTTGGTGTCAGGTGAGCGCCTTTATGTCTTGCTTGTTTACAGATTCTTCTCTCAGCAGAGTAGAGGAAGGAGATTATCCAGTTAGACTGTGGAATTTCTCTGGAGTGGAGACTAAATTAGGTGAAATTCTAGACAGAAAGAGACAGAGGAAATAGTGGTAAAGGGGGAAATTAAATGTGGATGTGACTGGTCTTCTTCTACTTATGATTATTTTTAAAAGTGTTGATTCTTTTTTTATATTATTCAAAATAGGAGATAGCAAGCATCCATGGACGTGTGTTCAGCGTTGAGGGCTTTAAGGAGTCAACCAGTGAACAGCTGCCTCTCTTTTCTTTTTTTCAAGGTTTGATTATTTCTTGACACAGCTGACCGCCTAGGAGGCGTCATGAAAAAGAGTGCTGCCTCTCTTTCTCATTGGATGAAACACACTAGGCCCCAGTCCCCTGTGCCCTAATCACTATTTTCTATCCATATTTTAGTGTCCCAGAAACACTTGAGGATTTCCACATTTTTTGAGGGAAATAACAGTACACAAGAATAGACATGGTCAGAGAGACTCAATGTTGGGAGTTGAAAACTTTAGAAATTAATATTCTGAGAGATGAAGCCACCAATCTCTTAAGAAAGAAGGTGGAGACCAAAGCCAGGGTCTTCCCCTGCTAGGTACGTAAGCTACCACCGACTTAGATCCCAACCCGAGGATTAAAGAGGTTTAGAGATTTAAATTTCCAGTAGGGAGATACAGTAAATATCTAAAAGAGTAGAGTCAATAGTCAGAGATGGTATTTATGTAAGAGAGTAAATACTAGATAGTAAGGCTCCAGAGAGGAACTCTAGAAAAGTAAAATGCTAAAAGTTATTTTTTAAAGCTATTCAAAAGGAAATTTCTACACACTTGGACATCTACACGTGCACACACACATAAACACACACATGAGCACACACCCTAGAATAAGGAAAGAACTGTGTATACAACTGTTTTTAAAAATATTACCTGTCTTAAGCAAGGAGAAAAAGACAGCAGGTCACATGTCAAAGGTTAGTGATAGGAGTGTCAGTAATGGTTAGAGTGATGGAGGCGTACCTCGAAAATACTCAGGAAGAGAATTAGTCTTTCAGTGGTTATTCGTGCACTGCAGCTGGATAGTCAGAATTTTTACTGTTGGCTTTTTAAGAAACGTAAAAATCATTGTTTCAGCTGGACAATGGTGGCATATTCCTTTAATCCTACCTACTCTGAAGGCAGAGGCAGGTGGATCTCTGAGTTGGAGGCTAGCCTGTTCTACAGAGCAAGTTCTAGGAGAGGACAGCCATGGCTACACAGTAAAACACTGACTTGGGAAAAAAAATAAAAATAAAAATAAAAATCATTATTTCATCTTTTAGTTATATATCACAGTGCATAACAGTAAGTTGCCAAATCTTAGTTAGTTCCCTTGACCCCTATATCCATATTATATTTGTTATACCATTAGTATTATGGCATGTTGGTGGCACTGAGTAGAAAATATGCTTTAATCAGCAGTATTAGCATAAGAAAACTGGGGATATATGGCCTTGACTAACAGGAAAGAGGTCTCCTACTTTGTCCATGTGCTTTTGTTTGCTTGTTTTTGTTTTTTAGTGATGGGATGATCAGTAGACTTTTTGTGAAGCAAGCAAACCTGAGACTGCAGTTGCTATTTCCAATGTCGATGTTTCTTAGAACTCTTAGGAAATGCCACTGGCTGTATCAGCAACAGTTTATGATAAACCATAAATACAGGTCAACCCATGATTGACCTCATGGGTTGGGGAGATACCTCAGTGGGTCAGACACTTGCTGTGCAAATGTGGAAACCTGAGTTTGTGTGTCCAGCACCCATGTAAATTCCACGTAGTGCAGCTTATATTCCTGGTTGTGTAGGTAGAAATAGGTCAGTCCTGGGATGTCTTCATGGTCAGTGAGTGATCCTGATTCAAGAGAAGAAGTGTCCTTCAAGGAAGACACCTGATATGTTTCTCTCGTCTCTGCATGCATGATGCACGTTTATGAACATGTGCATGAAAAACATGTGCACACACACACACATACATGAGGCTTAGTAGTAAACAAAAACTTAGTAAGCTATAAAGATATTAATAGAATTTATCTTTCTAGGAGAATATCTTTTTTTTTAGATTTATGTATTATTTTATGTATGAGTACACCATAGCCTTTTCAGGCACACCAGAAGAGGGCACTGGATCCTATTACAGATGGTTGCGAGCCACCATGTGGTTGCTGGGAATTGAACTCAGGACCCCTGGAAGAGCAGTCAGTGCTCTTAACCTCTGAGCCATCTCTCCAGCCCCAAATTTATCTTTTATAAAGGGCTGAAGAGATGGCTCAGAAGTTCAGATCATGCAGAGGACCCAGCTCATTGCCTGTGTAATTCTAGCTATGGGGATTCTGACACCTCTGGACTCCGGGCACCAGCACTCACATACAGACACCCATACATATTTAAAAATAATAAATCTTTAAACAAGAAGACTATATATGCTTTACATTACCAAATTTGAAATTACACAGAAAGAATTTCCTGATGAGACTAACCAAAAAGAAAAAGAACAGGAAAGAAAAGATGACAAGCAACACGCAGTATCTATCACTACGCAGTAACAATACACAGTATCATCACTACACAGTATCATCACTACACAGTATCATCACTACACAGCATCATCACTACACAGTATCATCACTACACAG